GTTTGCGTCTTTCTTTACCTTTTCATCATATTCTGAATTCTCACTATTGATTTGATTTTCGGTTTTCATCTTTTTGGTTTGTGTCAACCATTGTCGTGTAGAAATGTCACTTTGTAAAATCAACAATATGTTTCAGATCATTACATGAGTTATCAGTGCAGCCAACAAACAATCACTTACAAACCAACAATATCAATGAAACCCACTAAGGATATGAAACAGATCAGGAAGTAAAAGTAGAAGGGAAAATACCTGTAACTCACTAGGTATGAGAAAAAAATCTCAAGAAATCATGTTTTGCAAATACTTGCAACTCACCAGGTATGAAAAAAATCTCTTTATGAGAAAAATATAGCAATAGGTACGGTTGAAATCGATTTTAGTTTAGTAAAATCAATCCGGTTAAATATGATAGAATAAGAAATCAACAAACAATGAATTGCAATCGAAAAGAAATCGATGTTCCCATCTAGGTCGTCATCAACTCATCATCGTTCCAAATCAACATACACATATTGCCAATTTTTGTTCCACATCCCAATCGGTAAAACCTTGAAACACATCTTCAAGAAAGAAACGAAAAAAAAAGGAAATAACTTACCGGCGAGGGAGGAAGAAGACGATCCAGGGGTGGCAATGGAGGTGGAATCGTAGGAGAAAGGCGTAGGAAGCAACATGCGCAAGTAGAAGTAAATGGGCAAATAAGGTAGAATAAGGTTTCGTTCCCAGTCAGTGATGTTTTTTTTTATGACCGAGTAAGTTGTAAACGGATGAATGTGGATCGAGTCGGAGGGGTTAAATGACTGCATCAAACAAACTGACTAGACCGGGTCATATATTTTGTCTGACTGGACCCGGTCATACTCAAATCAAACATGCCCTTAACCGATTAAGCACTTTGCGTCTAAACTTTAGGGAACCTCTAACTAAAGCTCTTAATGCATAAAGACGACACCTTTATGCATTTACATGACCCAAAGGGACCCAATAACCATTTTAATCCATTAAAACCAAATCAAGAACATGCATGCGGGGACGGTTCTTCATAAGGGCGATGGGGGATGTCCCCCCCCCCCCTGTTTTTTTTTAGAATAAGTCCTTTACTTTTAAATTTTTTTCATATTAGACCTGAAACTAAAAAAATTGACTGTGCCCCCCTGTTCTCTACTTTTCATAAAAGGGGGGTGTTTTAACCCAATAGGAGTGGAATTGCAAGAAACCTTCAGCCAAATATTAAATATAATTTTTGTATTCTTCATTACGATTAAAAAAAATAATAATAAAAACTAAAAAAAAAATATTCATTATAACAATGATAGAAACAAAGTTGCAAACAAAAAAATGTTTGATGAATCTGGTTTATCTCCATTGACACACTCTTCTTTGTGTTCTTGTCCCTAGATGTAGCTATATTTTCTTTACTCTTTGAATTCTAACCTAATCCCTCACCTTTTTTTTTTGCTTTTTTATCTTTCTTGTCATCTTCTTTCACAACATTTTGCTTTTATGTTTGCGTCTTTCTTTACCTTTTCAGCATATTCTGAATTCTCACTATTGATTTGATTTTCGGTTTTCATCTTTTTGGTTTGTGTCAACCATTGTCGTGTAGAAATGTCACTTTGTAAAATCAACAATATGTTTCAGATCATTACATGAGTTATCAGTGCAGCCAGCAAACAATCACTTACAAACCAACAATATCAATGAAACCCACTAAGGATATGAAACAGATCAGGAAGTAAAAGTAGAAGGGCAAATACCTGCAACTCACTAGGTATGAGAAAAAAATCTCAAGAAATCATGTTTTGCAAATACCAGTAACTCACCAGGTATGAAAAAATCTCTTTATGAGAAAAATATAGCAATAGGTACGGTTGAAATCGATTTTAGTTTAGTAAAATCAATCCGGTTAAATATGATAGAATAAGAAATCAACAAACAATGAATTGCAATCGAAAAGAAATCGATGTTCCCATCTAGGTCGTCATTAACTCATCATCGTTCCAAATCAACATACACATATTGCCAATTTTTGTTCCACAGCCCAATCGGTACAACCTTGAAACACATCTTCAAGCAGGAAACGAAAAAAAAAATGAAATAACTTACCGGCGAGGGAGGAAGAAGACGATGCAGGGGCGGCAATGGAGGTGGTATCGTAGGAGAAAGGCGTGGGAAGCAACATGCGCAAGTAGAAGTAAATGGGCAAATAAGGTAGAATAAGGTTTCGTTCCCAGTCAGTGATGTTTTTTTTTATAACCGAGTAAGTTGTAAACGGATGAATGTGGATCGAGTCGGAGGGGTTAAATGACGGCATCAAACAAACTGACTGACCGGGTCATATATTTTGTCTGACTGGACCCGGTCATACTCAAATCAAACAGGACCTTAACCGATTAAGCATTTTGCGTCTAAACTTCAGGGAACCTCTAACTAAAGCTCTTAATGCATAAAGACGACACCTTTATGCATTTGCATGACCCAAAGGGACCCAATAACCATTTTAATCCATTAAAACCAAATCAAGAACATGCATGCAGGGATGGATCTTCATAAGGGCGATGGGGGATGTGCCGCCCCTGTTTTTTTTAGAACCGGTCCTTTACTTTTAAATTTTTTACATATTAGACCTGAAACTAAAAAAATTGATTGTGCCCCCCCCCCCCCCCCCATGTTCTCCACTTTTTATACATATTTAACTCCCCCCCCCCCCCCAACTCAAATGTTCAAACTACGTCACTGCATGTATGGACCTCATCTAAGCATCAAGCAAGCATTTTTATAAACTTATAACCTCATATCTGCTAAGAGTGGCAACTCAAAGCTTCTGGAGTGGTCTCCAACCACTAGACCTTGCTCAAGATGGCAAAATGGAACCAAAACCCATATAACCATAGATCTCAACTTCTAATGATCAAGCTAAGAACTTTTTCCTTCAATGAGCTGAAAATGTAGCAAGGAGTCCAGATCCACAAGCCTTTCCTTGAACCACCACCTTACACCAAGCTACCACTTCTTGAAATACATTAAAAGCCACCAAAAATGCACATACAAGGCTTACAACACTCTTAGATGAAGCTACAACTCGAAATTAGGGTTTAAGGCAATGGATGATGAAAGGGAGGCTCACACCTGGAACTTAAGGTGCTTAAATAGTGAGCCAACGCTAAAATTAGGGTTTTGGAACTCAGCACACTATGTTAGGCGTACATCTTGATCATCAGTGTTTCACTTATCTATTATTACGCTGGGTGTACCCTCAGATACGTTGGACGTACCCAACCAAACACACACATGCATCCTTGCATGCATGGGGCTGCTTTGCCAATTATTTCCATTAGGGACTAAAACTGTCAGTAACTTCAAAATACCATAACTCCCCCATCCTAGGTTCGTTTCCAACGAATCTTATATCCACGAAAAGGTGGCAAGAAGCCCTACGCTCCTAATAACACACCAGCCTTAAAACCCCCGAACAACACCCTAAATCAATAAAAGGCCGAGATATTAAATTACGATCATACCCTTGGCTTCCGAAGACACAATCGAATACTTGGATCACTTATACCATGACACCCACATCTGAAATGGCCCAAATCCTTCCTTTCCCGAAGCCACAATCCTCAAGACAACTGATGACTGAGCCTTCTGAAACCGAGTGTTACACTTCTTGTCTTCGTAACTTTTTCATACGAACTCTGTTTAAGTTGATTTTTTTGTTATGTTCTTTGTAACAAGAGTTTTCCATGGATATATTACACTCTAAATTAGGTTGTCGGAAAGTCATAACTTTTTAGCTTAAAGTGAAGCTATTTGGTGAAAAATATGAAAAAAAACCGAACTTTGATTTTTCATACAAACTGCGTTTTAGTTTTTTTTTCTTCATTGTGGTTTTTATAACAAGGACTATCTATGAACATACTACACTCGTAATCTAAATGTTGGGAATTCATATATTTTTAGATCCAAAGTAGACTATTCGATGAAAACTATGAAAAAAGAAAAATTACTAACTTTCGCATTCGAACTTGATAACAATAATTAAACCATATGGTTTTCGCAATTACAAGGTTGAACTGTAAAAATTAAAAATTAAAAAAATATTCCCATGCCACCCAAAATTTTGCATGTATTGACTTGCAAAAATAAATAATGTTTAAATTTTTTTTTTTTTTTTTTTTTTGCAAGCCAACAAGATTTTTACCTAGATTTTTGCAAGTGACATGAAAATCTGAAAACAATTCCGCTAGTTATGACTCTTATAATATTTTTCTGTTTTTTTTGCTATTTTGTAGGATTTTTTTAATTTTTTTTTAAATATGGCTATTATATTTTTATTTTTTATTATTTTATTTATTTTGACCCAAAAATTTGTCTGCCATTCGATAAGGGCCTAGATACGTTGTACACACAAGAAATAGAAATTCACAACCAAATGCTCTTCCGCATCTTCGATAATTTTTTTATTATTTTTATCTCTTCGTTTTCCCCATTTCCTCTCTCTTGTCCTCCACCATACCCACTAGGGTTTCAAGAATCCGTCCATCTATGTTACTTTCTTCAAGGATTTTAAAGCTAATCGATACCAGGTAATGGTCTCTACATATATGGCTTCAAGTTCTCGCTAATCGTTATTGTAATTGTATAATTTTATCGATTTTAATCAGCTTTTCTGGTGCGTGTAATGAACTCTATTGAATCAATTTGATTCTAAATCCAATTGATTATTATTTGACCGAAGTTGGAGTATTTTCGTGTTAAATTTATCAGAATTTGAATGTATGAGGACATGATTTCGTGCAGAATTACGAGATTGAAGCTTCTGCGATGATTTCATCAGTTTGATCAATTAGGTTAACTTTTCGTTGATTCGATAAAAGCTTCGGGTGATTCTGATTCCTTTGGAATTCGTTTGAAAAGTAAAGTGACTGTTCGATGAAATTAAGGGCCGTTTCTATTGGTTTTTAGAATTTACTGGGGTCAATTAGGTCGCAATAGCAATGGACGATCTTATGATTGATACAAACGGATTGGGTGATAATTCAGACATCGAAGGTGATGATATAAGATGTGATAATATAGCAGAAAAAGACGTAAGCGATGAAGAAATCGACGCAGAAGATTTGGAAAGAAGGATGTGGAAAGATAGAATCAAACTCAAAAGAATCAAAGAAAAACAAAAGATTTTAGCACAACAAGCTGCAGAAAAGCAAAAAGCAAAGCAAACAAGTGATCAAGCTCGAAGGAAAAAAATGTCAAGAGCTCAAGATGGGATCTTAAAATACATGTTGAAACTCATGGAAGTCTGCAAAGCACGTGGATTCGTTTATGGCATCGTTCCCGAAAAAGGCAAACCTGTAAGTGGTTCATCTGATAATCTAAGAGCTTGGTGGAAAGAAAAAGTCAAATTTGACAAAAATGGCCCTGCAGCCATAGCAAAATACGACAATGAATGCATTTCAAAAGGTCAAGGAATTGGGTGTCAAAATGGGAACTCAAATAGCATTCTTCAAGATCTTCAAGATGCTACTTTAGGCTCTCTTCTATCTTCTTTAATGCAACACTGTGATCCACCACAAAGAAAGTTCCCGTTAGAAAAAGGTCTCCCGCCACCGTGGTGGCCCACTGGCGGTGAAGAGTGGTGGTCAAGATTAGGTCCAGGGCTTCAGAAAGGTCAACCCCCTCCTTACAAAAAGCCTCACGATTTGAAAAAAATATATAAAGTCGGTGTTCTTACTGCTGTTATAAAACACATGTCTCCAAATATTGCTAAAATTAGAAGATTAGTAAGACAATCAAAGTGTTTACAAGATAAAATGACAGCAAAAGAGAGTTCAATTTGGTTATCAGTTTTGAGCCGTGAAGAAGCTCTGATTTTACAGTCTAGCGGCGATAATGGCGGCTCGGGGATCACCGGAACACCTTCCGGCGGTGGCCGGCCGGAAAAAACCCGCCCGGAAAACAGCTACGATAGTGACTACGATGTTGACGGGGTTGAAAACGGCGGCGGTTCGGTTTCTTCCAAAGACGACAGACGACGCGATACACCGGAGGCGGCGGCGGTGCCGCTGGCGGCACCACCGCGTAAGAAGAGGAAACGGGAGAAGTCAAAGGTTGACCAAGTGGAACGGGACGGTGTTCCGGATATAAATGAAATGGATGTATCGTTGATTGAATATCCGGTGTTGCCGGAAAATCATCCGCTAATGACTGATGCTGTCGCCGGAGTAGAAACTCCGGCGAACATGGTTCTGTATCCACCGCCACCACCACCACCACCGGTGGTGGTTCAAGATTCCGATTATAGACCTCAGAGTTTAGTTGACTACCGCTTGTTTGTTCCGGTGATTGAAGGGCGGAATCCGGTGAATGAGTTCCAGATGAGACCGGAATATTCTTCAGAACCACCGGGAAATGTAAACCCAATTGTAATCACAGGCGGTGGAAGTGGTGGTGGTGGTGGTGGTGTAGAGATTGTTGAAAAAGAAGGATATAATGAGGGACAAGTAGTGGACAATCAATTTGAATCATCGATTAATAGTTTATCGCTGGATTATGGTGGATTTAATAGTCCAACTCCATTTAATCTTGGGATTGATGGAACGACGTCGCTTGATACAGATTTTGATTTTCTGCTTGATGATGACCTCATACAGTATTTCGGAGCTTAAGTTTTCAAAATTGTAAGTTATATATTATAACAAGGAAATAATTATTTTTATATTATATTTTTGTTTTTGTTTGATAATTAATAAGTGGTTGTGGATAATATTAATAGGTATGATGAATAATGCAAAGATTAGAAGCATGGCGTTATTTGGCTGATGTTTTCGATACTTTATAAAGAATGTAAGGTTATAGTTTTTTGTTTTTTTTGCCAATTTTGGTGGTAGAATAATGAATGAATGAATGAATGATCTGTAACAGTTGCATGTAAAATGGATCTCTTTTTTCAGTTTTTGTGATTATTAACTTTTTTTTTTCTTTTTGGTTAAAAAATTCCGTTAGAATTTGGTGGTGTTAACAAATGTATAGCTTGTTTTGACGTTTTTAAATATTAAATTATCGTATTTTATATTTATATAATTTGTTTGAAAGTTAAAGCTCGAGTTGTACTTGTAGATGCTTTTGTCATTGACACTCTCGAGCTTTGCTTGATTTGGTTCAATAAGTTGTTATAAAAAGAGTAAACTACAAATTTGGTAATTGTGGTTTGTAATTTTCTTTTGATTCGGTCTAAGAGTTTTTCAACTTATAGCGTATGTACAAAATGAAATATTTTTTTTTATGGATTTGGTCCATCTCAAACTAGAAATGATTATTGTACTTTTATTTTTCTCTTCATCTCAGGTTCTTTATATGTGATTGCATTCCTTGCTATATGAACATTGAACATGTGTTTGTCAACTTCTTTTTCTTTGGCTATAACAACCTTTAGTTCATCAAGTATCATGTAGGCTTTTTAAGTTTCTCATTAGAGGTAGAAGGGTGGTAGAAGTTGTGGACAATTTTTAAATTTCAATCGGTCATTTGGTGAAAAAAAGGAGGAAGACATTTTTGCCATGAAATAGAATTTTATGCTTTGAGAAGAGTTAATAGGTTTGGTATGATCCAAAGAATGGTGGGCAATTTTCAACGAGATGATATATGCGAAAGTGACATTCATAAATTTAACAATAACATGTAACGGACATTTATAAAGAAGCAATAACCTTAAAATAAACTTCTATTACCTTAAAATGTGACATCGAAACGAGATCCATGGTTAGGAGTAACATTGAGACTTATGTGGTTAAGAGTGTTCTTAAAGAAATTTTAGTTTT